GTTTTTCAGTATACATGAGATGGGAGCCATATTTAATCACAAAATTTATGTAGGTTTCATGTACAGCTTGTACATATAGTTTGAAAGTTACTTTATGCACTATTTATAGCTTCAACCGTTGTAGAAATTTCAACTTCTGATGTCACACTGAAACTTAAAAAATTTTGGATTTCGGTTGGCATGAAAGAACAAGCTTGTTATCCTAGGCTACTAAAGAGAATGGGGTCAAATTCATGCTTGATGGTTGCCTGGGCAACTTACTAAGACCCTGTCCCAAAACCAAAATTGAAAAAAGAAGGAGAGCCAGATATGTAGTTCATTGATAAAGTGCTTACCTAGCATGTGCAAGATTCTGAATTCAGATCACAGTACTGAAAAACAAATGGAGGAAGGGATTTTGTAGCATTGTGGAATCTGGAATTTTGAAACAGGGATGCTCAACTTGCAAAAAAAAATTAATGTGTTGAATGGTTTTATGTTGCCCCATTACTTTGTGTAGAAATTATATAAAAGAGAAGTTCAACCTCCATTCAAGCCTGCTTCAGGAAAGCCAGATGACACTTTTTGCTTTGACCCTGAGTTTACAGCAAAAACACCTAAAGGTAGTGTGGTACTTTTATTCTTGTAATAATTAAAGAACATACTCTGTTAGTTTAAAAAATTAAAAAGAATAAGTTAGAGGATAAATGATTTCTCTTTTCTGGAAATGTGTACTCTGTATATATTTTTGGAAATCTTGTTTCTTTACATGGGGTATATTTATAAAGAAACATGGACAACAGCAAAGAGTAGTAGAGTTTTTGTTTGCTTATTTGTCGTATGTCTTTTCTTTTTTCGTCGTCTGTCTTCTGAAATGCTCATTACTGACAGGATATTGGGTAAGAAGTAAGATATTTTCTAGGGTACTGTGTCTTACTTCAGAATTTGCTATGATTTACTTTTACTGACATCTGTTTCATACTGTTTTTTCAACAAATATTGAATGCCTTCTACTAAGCAATGAGAATGCAGTAGTTAATGGAGCAAACAAAAATTACTAGTTTTATTGTGTATATATACTGGGAGTTGGAGATACCTAATATACTATAAATAAAATATATATTTGATAGATGATGACATGGAATGGTTTTCTTTACATTTAATATTAAATATAATTATTTTTCTATAATTCTAATTAAATATAATTATTTGAAAATAGATTCCCCTGGTTTGCCAGCCAGTGCAAATGCCCATCAGCTCTTCAAAGGATTCAGCTTTGTTGCAACTTCTATAGCAGATGAATATAAAATCACTCCAATCACAAGTACAAATGTATTACCAATAGTTCAGGTAAATTATACCTACTTATGTTATTCAGTTAAGGCATCTATCAAGTTGAGGATAATTCTTCCAGTTATTAATAAAGGATTTGCAATAGTTGTTTTATGAGCGACTACTTTCTCTCTGAAGATAATTGTGACTTAAAGATGGTTTTGTATGTTTTGGCAGAAAGACAGTAATGATATTTAATTATATTCATGTGGCCTGCTTTAGCAAAAGGTTAGGTTAATGAGTAACCCTGTTGACTTATCATGTTAACTTTGGGAACCTAGAAAGCCACAGTTTCTTTAGAACTAGTTCAAAATCTGCCTCACTACTGTATAAATAATGAAAAAACTTCTGTAGGATAGTTATTCTTGATTTTTAAAATATTTAACATGAGTGTATATTTAGGCGTTTTTCAGTATACATGAGATGGGAGCCATATTGTAGAGAAAATGTGAAAATGTGAAACTTTAATTCTCTTTAAAGTTTTCCTTTTTTTAAAAAAAGGTCAATGGAAATGCTGGACAATTTGGTGAAATATATGAATTGAAAGAGGATATTGGTGTTGGCTCTTATTCTGTTTGCAAGCGATGTATCCATTCGTCTACCAACATGGAATTTGCAGTAAAGGTATGCATATAATTTTATATTTGATGCATATAATTTTAAACTACCAGTCAGTAGACATTTTCAAGGATCAAGTGAAAGAAAAGATAATGAAAATGAACTTTGAAGCTTAATATTTTCATGTTAATTTTCTTCTGCAAGATTTCATTTCAGAAGAACAGTATACTTCATGAAGTTTTTGATTTTGAAAAGATTTATTTTAATGTAATACTGTATGCTAAAATGAGTAATTGTGGCAATCATACTCATATGTGGAACATACTGTCATTTATGATATCCTCAATGAAATTAAATATAATGTTAAGGGTAGTGTTTAATTTTTTATTCTGTTGAGATTTGGATATTGGAAACATTTATTTATTTATTTATTTATTTATACATATTTGTCATACATAATGATCACATTCCTCATAGGGAATTTGTACCTGTATGTAGTATAACTTAATGTTTCTTTTCCCATTTCTCTTTCCTTCTGTCAACGCTTCTTTCCCACTCATTTACAAAAACTTTTTTCTTCTGTTTTGTCCTTTTCATTCTCTTTTTTTCTTTTCAATCCTTTGTCCATTCCTTACCTTCCGTTTCCCCATCCCTTTTTCCCTTTACCATTTAAACACATTTTTCCTACTTCCAAATGTTAGAAACTTTTACATGTCAAAATAATGGGGTGAACATTCTTCTTGAATTTGTTTAAAATATACCAAATTGAATGTTTCATTTTTAGACAAAAATTTGTTTTTCTCTGAGATTTTTGTTTGTTGTTTAGATCATTGACAAAAGTAAACGAGATCCCTCAGAAGAAATTGAAATTTTGATGCGCTATGGACAACACCCCAACATTATCACTTTAAAGGATGTAGGTATTTTAATATCTACTTCCCAGCTAAGTTAATGAAGTTATAACTTGGAATTTTATATATAGCTCCAAGTATTGTTTTCATGCCACAAAATCTTAAGATGCTACAATTTGTCACTTTAATTCTCTTTTCCAATAATGCCTACTCGTAATATATTAAAATTGATTGGTAATTGAGAGTCCTGATTACATGAACATGTACTTGCTGTTTACCTCGTTAACACTGTAACTAGTTCCACTTACTATTCTGTAATACAAGAAAATGTGTATCTATCATATTCTTGAAGATTTTATTTTCTTCATTGTATAACTCTTGGCTGTACCTTTATCAATTATTCCTTCAGTAAAATAGTACTAGTCTGTAATTTTATAAAATGAACATATAACCCATATGTTAATAGGTATTACTGAATAAAGATTTTTCAGATAGAAGGTAATGTTATTTTCTTTTTAGAAACGACAGAAAAATTCCCCATCACAAGAGTAGTTTAATTTAGGTAATCTGATACACACTTGATTTGTTATCTTTAGAGTCCTGATACCATGGGATGGAACTAACAGCCTGATTCAAGGCTCTTATTTACAGAAATCAATGAATTGCAGGTATATAGCCAATGGTGAAAGGGAAGCAGCTTATTTATTGAAGATCATGTGAAGAAAGGCTCAGGCCATGTCTGTGTTGATTAAAATTCAGTATGAACATTAAACATGGTGCCAGGCCTGGGCTACAGCTAAGTGGCACAGGAACCTGCCTGGAAAGCCCAAGGTCATGAGTTCAATTCCCAGTACCAAAAAAAGTGATTCCAGGATGGCAGGGAAGTAGAAAGCACATATGACCAGATAAATCAGGGTATTGGAATTTTTTAAGGAGACACCCCAGCTCAAATTCCTTTCACTATGTTTCTAGGTAAGATTGATTGAAATGATTCACATAGTCCTAAGTCATTCTTAGTCTGGGGCTTTTCACTTGTGTGCCTATTCCAAGGTCCACTCTGATTAAATTACAGATAACGGATAGAGGATTGGCCTTGGGATATTGCCCAAACTCAAATGGGTTGAGCGAAATGGTATCTCAGCCCCCCCTACTTTACTTAGACTGTTTCCCACTAAGACACACACTTCCCCAAAATCTTTAAGGAATGCTGAAAGATTAAGCTCCGACCTCCGTGGCTACTTCCTGCTGAGTAAGAGCACTGGCCCTACCTTTGTGGGGACCAAGGAAACTCTTGCCCTATCTCACCTAAGAGTTCAAAGTAGCTGAGTTTCTCCTCTGAGGATTTACTAATGAGCTGTGGATGTGAAAGTGGGTTTTGATCTTGAGCTTGGCCCATCAGCAATAGTTTAATAGCTATCAAACAAGAAGAAACAAATCTGACTAAGAGGTTAAGTATCTAAGAGCTAAATAGAGTTACAAGAAGCATTCATAAAGGCCATGTCTAGGACAGTAATTAAGACCACTCTTCCTGATATTTGGCCAGGACATCTATGACTCAGATTGTTCTTTACATATGTTAGAAGGGTTGTTGACAAGCTTCTGTACTGTATCTCACTATGTCAATGGATTGACATAGGAACTACGTTCATTTAGAAACAGACATAACCTCTGTCTCGACATTTATGAAATCTATCTCTTACAAGGTATGGCCAGCACTGGCAGTCAATATATTTGATCTCAAAGAACAGCAATATTTTGGACAAGCTCATCTCAGCCAGTGATGGCAGATCTTTTAGAATTCAATATAAACAGCCCACTGTGGCATGGTTTGCCATGCCTGATCTAGGCTGCCTATCAAGTTCTTAGGTAGCTGTTGTGCAGAGAATAAAGATGTGATTAGTTTTAAGGTTTGGTAGAAGTTAATCATTATTTATTATCTCTGTAAGAGACAGTTTTTTAATCATCCAGGAGGATCCCAAGATAAATAGAAAAACAAAAAGAGGTCATATTATAATTTGGGAGGAGGATATCAAGTGTGACAAACAAGAGAGTAGTAAGACTAGCCATGCAGCTTACTTGGAACAAAATGTTTCACTTATCTGGCTCAACAGGTTTAGTTGGTATTTTGTGAAAAGAAACTTGAGGTCATCCACTGGCTCACAGATTGTGAGGTTTATGGTCTCTTTTTCTTTGTTCTTTTTTTTGGGGGGTGTTTTGTATGACTTGGGTTTTACCGTGGGGGGGTGAATCCCACTGTCTAATCCCTATGCCATAATGAGAGGAATGATAAGCATTGTGTAGGTGCCTTTCCATTTAAAAGCAAACAAGTTTGTGAGTTAGTATCCACAGGAGTAGAAAATAAGGCATCTTTGAGATCAAAGATAGAGAACCAGTTAGTGTCTTCTGGAAAGTATGCTAAAAGGGTGTATAGGTTGGCTACTAATGAATACATAGGGACTAGTGTCTCATTGATAGCTCTGAGATCTTGTATGAGACATTCTCCCAATGATTTCACTGTTAATAAAATGGATGTATTACAAGTGGATTGGTATTGTATCAGCAACCCTGTAGCCCAAAATTTGTAAATCATGGGCTTTAATCCCTGCCTCACTTCTGTTTCAAGGAAAACTGGCTTCCATGATGGTGTAGATTGGGGTCCTTTTGCAGAATGACTAAATGACTACTAAAGTGGTTTTCACAGTCTCTCTTAGGATTGCTTTATGACATGCCTGAGAATCAACTCTAGATAGAGACTCCATAATTAGGTTGGCTGAATCTTGGCAACTAGGACACAAGTTGCCAGAGGTTTGAATGTTAGAGTCATCTTGAATAGGATCAATAAATCTCTTCTAATTAGTGGTATAAGGTATTCTGGTATCGCCATAAAGGTAGCTTGGAAAAGGAAGTCTTCCAACTGTCTGTTTAAAGTGGGAATAAAGAAAAACTGTGGAGCTAACTCCTTCAAGGCCTGCAACAATTGTGAAATGACATGAAAGCTTACCCCTAAGAAGAAACTAGAATTGAATAAGACACCTCAGTATCTCAGAAATGTAATTTGTTTTCCCACTACTTCTAGAGTTACTTAAGGTTCCTGTGAGGTGATGCAAATACACTTAGGAGCTGCACAGAGTGTCTTGAGCTGTACCAGTCACTGCCCGAGCATTCTTCCCTGGCCACCATAGTGGTGGATAACCTTACCCTCTCCAGAAATAAGGGCAATCTCTCCTTGAAGGCCCATGTTCTTCCATGTTCTGACAGGCCTGACAAGGGTTTGCTGCCTTTAGAGAGTACTCCTTTGCCCAGTGTCTCACTCATTTGCTTTTGAAGCTCTCTGTCTTGCCTCTATTATTATTTTGATTATATTGATTGCCCTTTGTGCTGTGGGCTTTGTCCATAGCCTTATCTACTAGGGAAAGCATAACTTTAGCCTTTATCTTTCCTTATTCAACTCTCATTTGTTCTCTATTCAATCATAGTTTTTAAAGACTGAATAAGTCATTAACTTATTGAATTGTACCTGCTTATGGGCCCTGTTTGTTTTGTGACCTTTCTCCTAATTTCTGGAGATGACTGAGTAATGTAATATTGCCCTAGAATAATCTGACCTTTTATACTCTAGATCTAAATTAGTGTACTTACAGAGTACCTCTTCAAATAAGAGTTGAAAAGCAACTGGATTTTCATCAGAGCTTTGACTGAGTTTATTGTATTTTCTTTTTAATTTTTAATATTTTTTGGTGGAAGTAGCGATTGAACTCAGGCCCTTGCACTCTACTGAGCTATCTCCCCAGCCCCACTGTCTCTCTGGCCCCAACTGAGTTTATTGTAGTTCACAGGTTTGGGTCTCCCCTGGTACAACTCACTAAAATGTCTGGATATATAAATTTCATTTAGCTTTCTCATCCTTCTATTATAATTTCACTCAAGCCCCTCTTAATGAACAAATAATGCAGCCGTTTACTGTTTATCTCTTGGTGAAGCTGTGAAGGCTTCATCATTATCCAGCATTAAAACTTATATGATTATTTTCCTTCCCACTCTTATGCAGTAAGAAACCAGGATGAACTATATATCTTACTAGGTGAGATGAAAACCATCAGCAAATTTTTCAGAGTCCTCAGAATGCCTACACATTTTCCCCTTGCTTTGCTAAATATCCATAACTGAAAAAGAAATGTGCACTCAAATTGTACCCTTGGCCCCTGCCACTTCTCTAAGGGGTAGAGCATTGGTGGCCTTAGATATTGAGTTCCCTGAATCTAAAACCTTATGGTAGGCCAAACCCATACCTGGTGTTGGTCAGGCTCAGAAGATGGCCTTTATCTCCTGGAGTTACTAACTGATGAGGTTATTGAGGAGGTATAGTATATGGGGAAGAGAAATTTTCATGAGAGAGTTCTCAGCAGCATCAGCTGCTTCTAGTTCCTGAAGGAGGATTAGTTCTAGAGCAAAGATCAGGGCTGTGGTACAGAGCTACAGAGGCTTAAATGTGAGGCATCTCTGGCCATTTTCTCTGTTTCTTACAATAAATATGCAATTGAAATTTTACACTATAATTTAGGTTACCAAAGAGTAGTAATATCACTTTTTCCGTAAGTGGACACATTTTTTATTAAACAGAAATATATGATAAACTTTGGGTGATCCTTGAAATATAATTGTTCCCAGTGAATAAGGAGTCATCTAAACAATGTCAGAAGATAAAATGAGACATTTCCCATGATTTGTCTGTTGATAGAAGGAACAAAAATTACATTGCAGGGTCCTGACAGATCCTTAGGTGCATCCCCAACCCATTAGTGGTAATATTTTGGGGTACCTTCTCATAGCTCCTAAGCCTTTCAGCCCCACAATATGACCTGCTGGAGCTGAAGTTGTGGGATTTGGTCATGGAAGCTTTACTGAGCCTTCCTTTTGGTAAATTTCCATGTGGCAGTCTTACAGGGTACCCTCTAAGTCAGTGATGGGAAATTTTTAGAGCTTTCAATGACGCAAACAACTCATGGTTCCACTTTCTTTTGGATTTTTTTTTCTTGAGACAAGGTCTCAGTGTAATTCAGGCTGGCCTTAAACTCACTATGTAGCCAGGCTGGTCTCAAGCGCACAGTGATCCTCCTGCCTCAGTCTCCTGAGTGCTGCAATTACAGGTGTATGCCAACATTCCAGCTTTCTTTTGAAACTGAATCTCCCTGTATGGCCCTAACTTATATTCTGTACAGAGTCCAGAATTTGGAGGCTGTACTGGCTGGCTATCTCTTAGACAATTATGAAAGCTAATCTGCTAGGGAAGGGAAGCTGTAGTTTTGTTTAATAGACACCCTAAACTCCAAATATTTTCTTACAAAAGTGGCACTCAGAGCTTTTTACTGAAAAACTTCATCTTTAACAGATATCCCACAGTCAGTCAGTAGATGGCACTCTAATAACAGGAAATAAGACACATCACTAGGAAAAACCTCACCAAGATGAAGCAAATATTATTTAAATTACTCCAATCAGCAGTCCACATAGAACTTTGTGTTTTAAAACTTGTGCCCTTGGGGGCAGGGAGATGGCTCAGTGGAATAAGCATTTCCCTGGCAAGCACAAAGGTCTGAGTTCACTTGTGCTCTTGTATAGGAAAGTCAAATCTTCTTAGTCTCTTTGTCTCCAACTCTTGTGTATATTGCTAGATCATGACAAAGAAAGAGATATGTATCTTTTTTTAATTTGTCCATAATTTTATTGACAGACAAATATCAATGAGACAGTTTCAAATCAAATTGGTAAGACAGTTTCAATAGTTAACACATTGCATATTGTCTTACTAGTGGTTATTTTCTGTACAACATGCAGACCTGATATCCTATTTACAAACACTATTACAATAAATCCCTCTATTCATTAAGAGAATGTAACTATATATCTATCCTAACCATTATGAATACACAGATACACAATGGACATTTATTTATATATCCCCTTTTTGTTTAGTTCCATGATTTGAATACTATAGGTGTGTTAACTCAGCAAAATATTCTAAAAGAGTCCAGTAATCCATAATAGTATTGGGTCTTCCGCTTGAGTGGCAGTGTCAGAAATTGTTGAACTGAGTTCCCTACAGCTCAACATAACAACATGGCTTTACCTTTTTTTTTAAGATCAAGCTGATATATATTTTGTCATCTATAGAAGCTAATACTAATTAATGGCTATACTCATGTTGTAATTCAACTGACAAATAACATAGCAAGTTGTAACTACTATACTAAATGATTTTTTTTCTAATTGGTAGGACAGTTTCAATAATTAACACATTGCATACATTCTTCCTAGTGGTTAATTGCTGTACAAGATGCGGACATGATATCCTAT